CAAGTAACTGGAAGGTAACAATAGAAATGAGGTTGGATTCAATGAACCCTGCAGAAAGCTTGGAAGATAGGAGGTGAAATCGTCAACAGTTGTCAGGAGTCTAACTAGGAGCATTGGTCTGGTCAGATCTATGTGTACTTTATTATCCACTCACTTATTGGAAGCTTGCAAAGGCAAAGTGAAAAACGGATATATACTCACGCCACCTCTTTCTGTTTGTGGGTAAAAATTTGGGAGTTACAGTTACGGTTCCTACTGTCCAATAGATGTAGTGTTAATATCAGGTAAAAGAAGATAAGCTTGGGGGTGGATATGCTTCTTCAACTTCAATAATATTGTCCCTTTACTTGATTACATAACTGGGTTTGTAATATTATCAAACGAGGTAATCGAGGATAAGGATGAAGATATATAGGGCAAGTCATTAGTGAAAAAGAGAGACAGACAGGGATTCGCTGTTAAGTTATCTATAAATTATATAGAGTGTTTAATGTTTAAATAATATGCCAAAAAAGATGCGCATGGCACGCAATGGATTCCTTAGGTTTATGCTTTTGAGTTGTTTTTGTGAGTTTAATAATATCAACTTTGTCTAAACAAATCAAACCCTTAAACAAATGGGTGTCATGTTTATCCCGACACATCCAGCCCTTGTTTCCCATATACCAACTCTGATTAGTTTTCGTTTCAGATCTTGAAGCACTAATTAATCAAGATTTCCCATCAGTCACACCACCCTGGCTAATCATCAAATTGACACAGCCTATGTGTCATCAAATCATATATGCTTTTAAGGATCTGATTTATTAGTTAATTAATTAATAAGCATATTCGGGTCCATTCGCGAGTGCTCTGATATTATTTGATGAGGAACAACGAGTAGTGGTCCCGCTTTGTGGGTCTTTTGGTTGATTCATTAGCCTGTGTGATGTGATCTGAGAAGAAAATTCAAACATATATATATTTATATAACACTATTTTATCAACACTAAGGTTAAGACCTTTTTGTTGAAAAGATACCATCACTCGTTCACAGATTTCGATCAACCACAACATCTACATATATAGAGCTCTCATGGCCCGGCAGGACCCTCCTATCGTTCAATCCCACTTTTACTGGCCCTTGTTATCTCAGTAGCTAGGTTAGCATTTCATCTTAAGATTTTGTTAATATATTTACAACCATATGAGTAGAAGAAGACATTTTGCTTGGTTGTGTGTGTGTGTGTGTTAATGTGAATATTGTTCGTAGTATGTGCCACAAACAGTACTCTCGCGTGTTTCCCTCTTTCCAGACTAATGCCCTTCACGGTTTATCCTCTAAATCTGTGCTTCAATTTCATTTGATACTACTACTTCTTATGCCAATCACGCATGCATAGACCATATATATAGAGCCTTTCTTTATATGTATGGTACGTCCATTATTTTAACCCATCAATAGGCCTAGATTTCATCACTCCCTGGATTACGCCTTGATTTTAGCCATCATATGTTTACTTTGCCACTTAGCTAGGCCGCTCACACATATTACGTACAAGATTCAAGCTCTAACTCCAAGGTTTAAAGGGCAGCAGCGAGCCTACTACTTCACCCATCCTGCTTTGGACCTTTTGTACCCACTGAAAAAGTGCGGCAAATTAAAGGGGTAAAAGGGTAGTGGAGCTCACTTAAGTCAATATGATGGTATTCATTATGCCTTTGAAAAATTTAGATTCATGCACCAAGCCGTGAAACCAAGCATGATCATTGGCCTTGGCATCGGCATCCAATATAAATATTGTGAATTTCTGTGACAGTACATCATAGACCTGCCCCTTTTTCAGTCACTCTCCCTGAGGCTAGTGACCAGTTAAACCCTATCCAGGCCATGAAGTGATAAACTGCGATTACCATTGGAAGCTTAAGCCCTAGCGGGTCGCTTTCACTAAAAGCTGGCCTGGGTCTGATCCCCACAGCAACACATATTTACAAAATCATAAAGTTGGATTAATTATATATATTATTCCGTATACTTCTAAAGTAAGAAATCTCAGGCGCCCAGCTAACGAGACAGTACATTAACATATATGATAATAAAAGATTCTGGTGCTTTGATAAATTTATATGTAATCAGGTAACGAAATGGAATTAAAAATGGAAGGAGCGTACGAAACGTGGCAGAAGGGAATAGACAATAGTGGGTATGTGGCGCCGCTTCGTCCCTTGGTTTCTATGTCTGTCACACCCTTTAAGGGATTCCGAGCTGGCTGTCCTTCCCTCTGCAAATTACCACTGCCATTAGCACATGGTGGCCACTCATCTTATTGTCTTCTTTTCCCAGCCCTTTGTTTTTTTAATTTCATTTTATTTTCATTATGCTTTGTGTTCTGATTTCTGATGTGTTGCAAGGTTGTGAGGTAAAGAGGGAAAAGACGATGTGATCGTGTCGTGTATGTCGATCAAACATCTACCGATATTCTCAAAGAAAAAGAAGGATCATTGAGATGGATCATATATATATATATATATATATACACACACGTACATACATGCATCGGGCGATCCCAAGAAAACCAAACAGAACACTCTTTACCCACTTCTTTTGTATTCAATCTTCGTGTCACCTACCGATAGCTCTGTGTTGTGTGGTCCTTGTTTGAGTTTCCTTCTTGTCTGCCCCCTCTGTGAGGTTCGACGCCCGTACGTTGGTGCCGTGGCCTTCTGTTCAATATCTACGCGAGGGAAAAAATTAATGTTTTCCAGCCAAAGGCACAGGAAAATGGACCACCTGGTCGGTTTAAGGATTTGTAATACATAGTGGCGAACTCGATCATAATTAGAACATTCTGCATGTATAATCTAACGAAATAGAGCAACTAAAACATAAAATTTGACGGCTTGTTTTTTTTTTTTAACTCAAAATTAAACGATATCCAACCAATTAATCCTTCCAGAACTCTTAATCATACTGAATAAGAGACTGATTCACTTATATTTATTGGTCTCACCAATCCAGTGAGGTTGAGTTTTAAATACTATGTTCAAACCAAACTCAACATGATTTGATCCAGTAAATTTTAAATGGCGGACTGAATATAAATGGAATTTTTTAAGAAAATAAAACTACCTGGACGCTAATGGAAGCGATTGGGTCATCTTATCTGCCTGCATCAGAAAGAAAAGATATTCGAGTCATCTTATTTACATTGCTGATTATTAAATGAAGTTGACACAAAGCTATCGTAATTGAGTTTTTGTGATCAAGTTCTGGAATGCAGTTCAAGCCCGAATATTTTGTAGCATGTGGGCCATTGCTTCCTCTATTTTGTAGCGTCTGACAATGGAGTCGCATACACAGTCTAATCAACTACTCAACTATGAGCCCAATTCGTCTGAAATGTAAAAGCCCATTAATGCCCAACATTGTGGATCCCCTGTGGTCGGATCTTTTCGCACCCACAGCATTCCTGCTTCTTTTCATTACTGAAGCCCTTGACTCTGTTTCACTTTGGGTGAACCATCAAAAGAGAAAACAACAAACACGGTAATTTCTCATAAAATAACGGATCAAGATTTAAATTTTTATTAGATAAGATGCATATATTTAGTACCTCATAATACTTCTAATAAAAAAATATCTATTCATAACTAAAAAAAATCAAAAGAGAAGAGCACATGATATTGACCAATGGAGATTGAGTTTAACAGAAAGGACCAATTTCTCACAAGATGGTGAATTAAAATTCGAATCCTCGCTAAGAGATGTGCTCACATTTGGGCTTGTTTGGAATAATTTATAAGTAGATTTTCAATTATAATTTACGAAATACGAGAGAAGTATGTTAGATGAGTTTTGTCTCTGCTTATACAAAACATGTTGATAAGTGCTTTTAAATGTAAGCCAAACAGGTCAATGCTTGACGAAGTCTCGAATAGAATTACTTCCAGTAGGATAACTATGTTTAGGGTGTTTGAAAACCCCAAAAAGTATTTTTTAAAAAGCACTTTCATGCAGATTGAAACAAAATTTGTCTCACATATCTACTTCGTATATCGTAAAATGACTTTTAAAACCATAATCTAGTTTCCATCCAAACACTATCTAGTAGAAAAAGAAAAGCACACAATGTTTCTTGCTAAATGAAATTATAGGTGAGTCAAATGATACCTTTAAGCTCAAAGAGCTAATAATTGTCCACTAGTTAGATATTTACATCGACGGGATTTGAAGTCATGACTTAACGGGTTATAAACAAATTACTCACCAAGTGGAGTAACCTTTACTGAGAGAGCACGTAGTTGATCTGGGGCATAAAATGCAGTGACAGGAATTTAGGATCTGTTATAATTCACCTGCGATAAAGTACTTGGAGTAAACGTAACATCATTTTTATCAATTTTTGGCTTCCAAAACTAGAAACTGTGCGTAGTGCCTACAGCTTCCATGTAATAGTATCCCTATATCAATCAATCTTCGAAAAGGCGTCTTTCTTCAAACTTTCTGTGCACTGAAAATCTGCTGTAGTTAGTCTAAATAGTCGGAGGAAAGGCTTGTCAATAACAGTTCACAAAAACTTGTTAGGGACACAACCCAATTGCTTCTAGAATTTGCTGCTAACAACTAAAGTTGGGATGCAAAATAAATCATTCTTTTCTTCTTGAAGTTATTGGTCTTTTTCGTCCTAAAGTATCACGCGCCTGAGATTTTAATTATTCTTCAGCGCCCAAAGAGAAAAACGCGGATTAATTAGTTCGATTCTTGTTATTAACCGTCCGGAAAAGGAAAAATGAGCCACAAGTAACGCGGTCTGTCCATGTCATACGTATATAATACGACGAAATAGGCAATTATCGTATAAATGCAGCATTGTCGTATAATTAAGTTGGCACGTGTCTTGTCATGATTATTGTTTTGGCTCTATGTTATCACTACTATTGTTGATTATATGGTAAGAATTGACTTTAAATTTTGTAGCCAATAATAATTGACTCTAATTGAATTTTAGCGTGAGTGACAATGCCAGATTGAAATTGTAATCAAAAGTGAGAATTCTGCAATCCAGTCCTAGTTGAAAGCTTGAACTCTTTCCGTCCGATCTGATCTGTCGCGCCCTTTAAAAAACAAAAAGCGAATCTTTTTTAGGCCCAAAAAGACCATCACTTCAACAATTCAAATTTCCGCGATTTGGATTAAATTCATACTATCATTGTTTTTCAGAATTTGGGTGAGATTCTTCCAGTATTGCTGCTGCCAGTGTTATATTCTTGTTCTTGATGGGGAAAGGAGGAGGCTGCGTTCCCAGCAAGAAGAAGGCAGTGTCAGTCGTCGACGATCCTCCACGTGAACGCGCCGAAGGGTTGGGAAACGCGCCGATCGTAGTTGAAGAAAACGTCCATGATGCCGATGGAGATACTACCGCTGCATCAATCCAAGAAACAGCGTCGCCCTCGCATCCAGTGGTGAAATTGAAGATTTTCATTGTGTTCTATTCAATGTATGGGCATGTTGAAGGACTGGCTAAGAGGATGAAGAAGGGCGTCGATGGAGTGGATGGGGTGGAAGGGGTTTTGTATAGGGTACCGGAGACATTGCCAATTCAGGTATTGCAGCAGATGAAGGTGCCGCCGAAGGACGAAGCCATTCCGGAGATCGCGGCTGCCGAGTTACCGGCGGCTGATGGGCTTTTATTTGGGTTTCCGACCAGATACGGGACCATGGCGGCACAAATGAAGGCATTCTTTGATTCAACGGGGCAGTTATGGAAGTCGCAAGAGCTCGCAGGGAAGCCTGCTGGATTCTTTGTCAGCACTGGGACTCAAGCAGGTGGCCAAGAAACTACCGCGTAAGTATCTTCCTTTTGTTACCACTTTCGCTTTATATGTGTGCAGCTTCACTGTGAAATCGTTTCGAAATGGCCATAGTTGATACATTGGTACAGGACAGCTGGAAATGAATGCTTGTGTTTATAACTTACAACTACAATGATGGAAGTCTGCATTGAACATCTTTGATTTTGGCTTATTAATTACTCCGGTCCTAAATATATGACCCATTTTGCAGTGCAAGTTGCACTGCAAAATGGGTCATATATTTAGGACTGGAAGAGTATTATTAATTCGATCTAACTAAACACAATTATAATGTACAAATTAATGGCTACGTGTGCTTTCCTTCGTGAAGTCAATCTTCATGCGGAAGCATTGTTTTCCTTCTTTTGGGTTTTTTTTGTTGGGGGGGGGGGGGGAACTTGTTGGCCAAAGAGGAAAAAAGAAACTACACAATAAAATATCGTACGCAAGACTTGAGAAATTTCAATTGCTCTTGATTGCAAGCTTTGTGTCAAAGGTGTAAAAACATTGAAGTTACGACTTTGAACTACTGCCTTGTTGCATAGATGCTTCATTTTATTGTGACGGATCTGATGTGGAAATCCAAATTGGCTTGAATAGGTAACTTTGCATGGGGTGAAAGATTGCATTGGTAATACATACAGGAGGAACATGGTCAGAGATAGTAACATTGTCTGGACTGTTAGTGATCATGACGAGAGTTCAAAGCCGTTATGGAATTGGATAGTTTCTTTTATGACTCTTGACCATGCATACACGCTTTTCTTTATCAGATAATCCATTTAAGATGGAAATAAACATCTTTTGCAAGACTGCACATAATGTTCAAGCAGGCTTTGCTCTTCTATGTACTTAAGCTGTTAAGTAAATCTTCAATCCTTTATACCCTTCATAATTAATAGATTTCATTCAGTGTAGTGCTTGTTCTTTCTTTAATATGGATGGAACATAGCTTATATTCATACTCTATGCATCTCTGTTTTTTCGCTCTGGACGGCATAAACATACACCCAGCAATGAAGACACTGACATTTCATTTTGTCATTGCTTGGGTATCTTGAACGGCAAGGGTATCTATGAGTTATTTTATACATGGGTAGCTAGGATAAGAATTGCAAGTTGTCAAAGCAAATAAAAAATGGTTAATATGAAACTTGGTAAAGCCTTGTCTGATTTCCACATTCTTTGGGATTTACTAGGCAGTAGTCAAGATATTTGTAGCTTGGTGTGTAAACCTTTAATCGTACATTAAAGGCAGTACCCAGTTTGGATAACTAAGATGTTTGAGAATCCTAGATGCTTGGCTTATTACCTCCCCGATGGCTCTTTGGTCTTGAGGACGAGACAGAAATCTAATGAGTGATTGAGACGTAACTGAAGTTGAAGTGAAATGGAGAGACTGGAAGCCACTTCTTATTTATGGGTTATATCTTACATCTAAATGACAAAATTAACAGAATTTACGGCCATGATTTGCGAATAATGTCAGATGTAGTTTGGATTCAGTTTGAGTTAGTGTGAAAATCTTGTCACGGAACAATCACATCAGTAGAGTATATATGGCTGACTTTCACTTGGAGTGGAAGGAGGGATGTGCTTTGCATCCTCAAGTCTGAATATTACTGTAAACTTTCTTTCACATGTTTTAAATGAAGATTTTGTAGCATTTCAAGATGGAAAAACCAGAGCAGATTATTAGATTTTGATTGTCGAAGGATATTACTGATTGCTGTGCTTTTTTTTTCCTGTTGCAGTTGGACAGCAATCACTCAGCTGGCACACCACGGGATGCTGTTTGTTCCTATTGGATACACGTTTGGACCTGGTATGTTCAAGATGGATTCCATAAGAGGGGGTTCTCCATATGGGGCAGGAGTGTTCGCTGGTGACGGCACGAGAGAGCCAAGTGAGACAGAGCTGGCACTTGCAGAGCATCAGGGCAAGTATATGGCTGTGATTGTCAAGAGGCTGGCCCGGTCTTCTTGATGCTTTCTTGGTTTCATTGTCTTTTCTTGTTGGGCATCTATATTTTCTACCTCTCTGTTTTGTGGAAGATTGGTTTTTGGCATTTTACTGTTGTAGTAGGTCCCAGGAATATGATAGTCTGTTCCCATGTCAATTCCCTAGCTGCTCTCGGTTCTGCATTGTTGTGGAAGGTATAGATTTTTTTTTAAGGGGGAATAACAAATAATACTGTGAATTCGTGTATCTTCTTGTCCCCTAATTGTGGTCTGTTTTGATGAATGTATAGTGACGATTTGCTTTAATGAAATTGATTTATTTTTGGAAGGATAATCTGATAATTCCTGGTCACAACTAAGCTTTGTTGTGCATAAAAGAGGAGGGCGATTGAGAGTTAAAATATTTAAAAAGAAAATGTGCGAGTTATGTTCAAGAGCATAATATTATCATCTGGAACGTGTTTTCTTCAAAGAAGATACTGGGTTGGGCCGTTGTGTCCAAGAATCATTGTTATTGAGTTCCAATGGTAGCCAATGGATACATCAGTTTTTTCATGCCTATATTTAGTACCCAACAGTACTTCGAATAGGATTGCTTCCAATAGGAGGATACCTATGCTTTAACAAAAAAAAAGCATAAGAAATAATTGAAGTTAATCTTTTTTGCTTCGGTTTCAATTAGCTTATGAGAAGGATAAGCCGAAGTGGCCAATGGAGAAGTGTACCATTGAAGCCTCAGTGGAAATGGTACTATGCAGTGCATGTTGGGACACCTTCAATAATTTGCTGAAGTTGTTGCTAGCTAATTTTGTTTCTCATTTTGCTACCACTCATTTTGCTCTTACAAATAAAGGACATGCTCAGCAGGGAGTGGCTAACCATATTCCAGGTGCTTGATCGGTCCAATAATGGGCGGGCAGACTGCCTGGCAAAGACAGCTCTGAGTGGTGCCACGGGTCTGCAGTGATACCACGCTGAAACTTTGATGGAGATTCTTGCCGCTGATGGCGATCTTTAGTCTGTGGCTTTCTTTTTTCCCTCTATAAAAAAAAAAAAAAAGTTAAATGCCACTCTTTGTTCAAAATATTAGTATTATATTATAATGCTACTCCTCCTCCGATTTTTAATATATAACTTAATTGTTAAGTTAATTTGGGTGCTAAGTATAAGACCTATTCTCATGTTT